TTGTCAGATGGTAGCACCACGACCGTTTTCTTCGAATTTTAACGTCTGTTCGGTAATGTATCTTATTCTCATATCAAGATCAGGATGTTGGAAGAAGTGCAACAAATCGTTAGATTTTTATATTATTTCATAAAATGTAACGACAAGTGGCTAACATTTGTGTCAAAAGTGAAAAGAAAATCGAACTTCTTGAGATTGGCAGGAATCGTGTTTATAAGAATATGTGGCTTAGGAGAGAAAGATATTAGTACAAGTCGTCAGTTTTTAATTTTATTTAATAAAATTTCACCACAGGTAGCTAACATATGAGCCAATTACAAAAATACTTAAAAACTCAATCCTAAAAATTGTACCTATATAAAGTAAAAGGAAGATCCGATTGCGAGGAATTGGCGGGTATCGTGCTTATATTAATTGTGTGGTTTTAAAAAGTTAGAAAAGAGAGATATTAGTCGTATGTGGACAGTGTTAATTAAACGAGATTTAGTCAGATCCACACCCATTTCGGCGTAACGCTTTCGAAGTTGAATGTATCCGGGTGGCCTACATGCGAAATATTCGGGAAACTCTCGGACCACTTGAACATCGTGCTCGGACCGGAAGTTACCTCGAAGCTCTCGATGCCGTCCACACCGATCGCAAAAATCTTCGTGTCTATGACGCCGTACGGCGCCTCGTCGTCGTCCAGATCTTTGCGTTCCGTCAATTTCTGCAACGGATCTGAAATTTTCAAATTTTGTGCGCGATCCTCCTGGCTGCACCCACGCATCATGCTTCCAAACTTCTCGAGCGTGGTGACGTTCTCCAGACGCGTTAAACAAGTTTTGGTGAGATTCGCGTCCTTCTTGCCGGGTTGTACGGTGTCCCTGATGCACTGGAAGTTCGAGAGGCCGACATACGATATGAAACCGTTTTTTCTGAAATCCTCGGTGTAATTCGTCCCGACGGTGATCTTCGGTAATTGTTCCATCAGAAGAACATTCATCGAACGTGGCTCAAAGCTAATCCATTGCATCGCGGAAGCACCACCGTTCGGATGGGACATCGTGTTGAACCAGGACTGACTGCCCGTCGCCAGCCGATTCGCTGCCATCAGTTTCACGGTGAGCATTACCTGTAATATAATTCTTCTCTTTATTTTTTCCTATCTCAAACATTACCACTCTCGCGACGGGTTCTGCATTCCTGTCCTCAAAGTGGGGCAGTTTCGTTTTTCGTACTTCCAGTGGAAGAGATTTAGCGAAATCGTAAAATTCGGCTAGTTTAAAGAATTATTGGAGCTTAACTACCGAGTTATTAGGAGTTTAATGACTTCAATAGGTATTCGTCCCTAATTTTTTGACGGATCATGTAATGACCGAATTTTATCGTGATCATAAATCACGACCGTACTAAAGCTCTTTCGCTGACTTTACTTTTATACCACCACCGTCGTATTCCGTACGGGACAGGTATGAAATCACCTGTCGTAAACGTGTATTAAAAGATTGAAGCAAGGCGTAAAAGAACGTACATAATCTTTCGGGTACAAAAAGCTCCATTCGCTCCGATTAGTCACTAATAAAGGTGTCCCAGCAACAACAAGTTCACGGTTTTCTCCGTACATTAGGTAGAATTCGTCTCGGGATGATAACGCTCCAGGGTAAGACGACATTACAATCGACCGACCGGGCGTTAACGCGGCTGTTTTTATTGTAGGTGATACATGATAGCCGAACGTGTACTTCTTTAGGAGTCTCAGCATTTGAGTATATCTGTAAAATAAAAGTATATTTCACGTTACAATTTTATAATAATATATCTGTTTAAAAATTGCTAACGTCCGTTATTTTAGAACATTTATACCTACCTTCTTTGCAACTATCCTCGCTGCTTAGAAATTCAAACACCAAGTGAGTTGCATTCAAAAGTTTTTAAGAGAGATCAATTAATTACTTACGGTGCTGTTGTCTGTTGACCGATCGCGATTAAAGGATCCGAGTTTCCGATTGGAAGCAACTTGAAAAAGATCGTGGAGCTCATTGGCGGCTCAGAAATATTGAATACTTGTTGGAAGCCGGGTAAATCGGAAGCGAGAGCGAGCCAAAGAAAATCTTCATGTTCTAATGATACCGACACGCGGCTCCGACGTACGGCGAATTTCCATCCAGCTTCCAGACCGTCCAATTGCATGTAAAATAATCGTACCTAGGCAAGTATCAACAAATTAATCATTATCTCATTATTCAATTTTTATTTTATTTATTTATAATTGAGAAACCAATTTGAATCAGGTTCCCAATATCTTTTCTTTTCAATAACATGCATAAGTGATAATTGCATACCATGTGCCAAAAAGGGTCGTTGGCTTCCTTGAGTTCAGCGTATTCGCGGATAATGGCAGTATTGTCTCGAAGATAATGCTTTAACTTTTGGCATTCGGCGGGCTTCGCTTCGCATTCAGGCCTTATAGTGTTGTACCAGTGATGATGAATTAATTGCCAAGTGAGGCTGCCTTCCAGCAGCCCGGCGGCGTAAGCTTGCACGGTATCCGGATATTTTGACGATGTTTCTATTTCTATGTAAGACCATCTGGAAAAAATTCAACAGTTCCAAAGGAACGTTTACATTTTTGTCTTTCCTATTTACTTAGAAACTTTGTACGCTATGTACAAGTCGTAATAATAAAACTCAACAATCGGAACGTCGACCTACCCATGCTCGAAAATCCCAGTTTTATAATACGCTCGGGCAGCGTGAAATGGCACGGCAGATAGATCATTGCCTTGGCCCCAAAAGTCAATACGGTACCCTCCTTTACGGTTCCACGATACGGTGGCCGAATAAGTACCATCTTGTTCGACACTGTCAATACATAACAATATCTTTTAAAGAAAAACCTAATTAACAATCCTTCTATTATAAAAAAAATGATTTGTTCGATTTGAGAATAATGATTTCGATAAAATTTGAATGAAATATTTTACTTGAAATCAGGCAAGAACTTTTGCACTGACCAATAATTAACGGATTTATTTCAAGCTCAAAAATAGTATAAGAGATTTAATCAGAATTTAATGTTAGATATATTCTCTGCGGACCACACGCAGGTGATGTCTAATAATCGGCGCAAACAATGACGTCGATCATGTTCTGAAAGCGTAACAAGTCTCATATCTGTTCGACGAAATTATAACTCGCACGCGGTGTACGAGATAAACCCCGCGTCGTGTGTCCACGACACAACCGAGGAGGGTTTTCGCACCTCACAGAAACGAGCCGGTGTTCTACACCAGCTGCGGTGCGATAGCCAGGATCACAAATTCGAGAAGCCAGACGTTACGTTATTCGATCCTACGTCGCGACCGGTCTCATCGAGCTCGCTTACCACTGACGACAAGTTGTCAGTGAAACGGCGCTGACACATTTGATCGGTGTGATTCGTTGCACGCGTTGTGCACGTGTCGACCGCAATTTATAGTTACCGCGAAAAATAAGAATTTTTTTAGAATAAAAACGCTATGATATTTATAACATGCAGGAGGAGTCAATAAGAATTGTTATAAAAATATTTGTATAGTAAAATAATTCTATTAGAAATTCATGTGAAGCTACTAAAGATGAAATGAAGAGATGTTTTATATGACTATTTTTAATGTTGGGTGGATTCTGTTGACTTACTGTCCGAATTCACCGAAAATTATAGCACCAACTCCCAGTAGAGCTACGGCGATGAGAATGTAAGTGGAGATGCGTGTCTGCAGCCAGGAGGCTCCTACTACCTTCAGCATGGCTCATCGGTAAGCTATACACCTTGGTTACAAGAAGAGAAGAAAGCTGAAAAGCACGAATTTCGCGTTCTCAACCCATCGATTACAGACGCCTGGTCTCCGGCTTCTACAGGCGCTTTAATAGCTGCCGATACGCGCTTGTCCCCTGGTCACTGGAACAATCACAAACAATTTTCCATTCTATCTGATCTATCGATCGGTCATCCTCAATCTACATATATATCATAGGTCGAAGATCTTATCTTTAATTACGTCAGCGTGATTCTCTTACGTTATATGACGAGGAAAAATATTGTTTACCAATAACGTTTTTCTATCACGTTATATTGTTATTCAAAGAATTGCGTTACTCGTTACCTCACGGCCTTCTCAATTCAGATATTGTTACAAAACAATAACAATTGCGATGGATCGTCCAAGGAATCAAGGACGGAATCAATTGAGAACGTAAAATTGAGATCTATCTATCGCGTAACAACCGGATAGTGTCTGGTTTCTCTTAATTGTTCTATTATCGTGAACCGATTTTTCAAGAGCACGATGGATGGATCAATCCTTTGAGACTTTTATTCAAAATAACGTTTAACATTTAATTCAATCGTTTTGCTGGCATCGAAGACTCAAGTTGAAGGCTTATTGTTAGACTGAATTCTCTTCGAGTGTAGTATTTGGCAGTCGTAATTACACACGTGTATGAAGTGTGACTATTAATATCGTGGCTACTTGTGCACATTCAGTTCTCGGGAAATGATGTAGGCAATACTGAAAGATTCTCTGACGATTCGTGGTATTGTTGAATGGACTGTCACATGATACGCTGTATTAGACATTTAATTTTTATCGTTATGTACTATTTTTGTAGGAAAGAAAACCGCGCGTGGCCGAGAGATTGAGACCATGAATTCAGAACGAAGTTTAAGGCCAATGCTAATTCACGGTCTTCGCGTTGATACTTGCAATTAGACGCGTTTAGTTCATTCAATTATCGCTCATTTATTTATGATGCTCGGAATACTGCGCAACTGTAAAACGCTTGTTAGTGAGTTCAAACAAAACTTGCAATGATATGTCTTTTCATTTTCGTTAATTGTATAGGGATGGCTCTTCCCGTATTCCCAGGTATATCCCAGAAGTTTGAAATTATTTCAAGTAATTTCGTAAGTTGTTTGATGCTTTACTTATCTTTATAGTTGTTTAAAACACTTGCAACCTATTATCTAAGCGCATAAAGTAACAGGAAGTATTATCAGCATTCTTCCGATTTATCTAGCATGTGTAGTATTATCTATTTTACTTTGTAGAAATTTTTATATTAAGTGAATTTTGAGTTCTAAACAGAGTCTAATATTTTGCATTTCTTCATCTGCAAAATTTCATGACAGTCAGAGATACATCTCATTCCTGACGCGAGCCAAGTATTAAAAATTTTTATCATTTCCAGATCATCCGCACATGCGATAACTATGTGGTAGGTTTCTCCCCTTTTGCGAAGAGAACGCTATATGTATATTTGCCATTGACACGCGCAGTATTGAACTCAAACATTTCCATCGTGTCAGTCTGATGCAACGGCTTACTTGACTTCTTAATTGCAAATACAATACCAGATAATTAAATTAAAAATCGTGCTCATAATTTCTTCTGTGATTGATGTTATATAAAAAATCTGCAATCGCATCAAATTATAATTGGAATGCATGTGCACGTGGATTTTATAAAATGCTTGAGTAATAATCTGATGGAATTGGGTGTGGCGGTGAAGAAAAAAACTTACTCCAAATGCATACTGTTCGAGCGGATTAACTGCCTATATTAATTCTTCTAGGAGTACAATCTGCGTGATATAGATCGAGCTTAATGAAGTTAATTAGCAATTAAAAATGCTGCCGCGTTTATAAATTTAAATTTAAGCGGTGCCGTAATACGATTTACGTTTCAATCTGTGATCGATGCATGCTGTACTATTTTATCTCATAATTACGTGAAATCATGACGTTTCTTTGCAAAATGAAAAAATTACACGATGCACGACCGGTTCGAAGAAAATCCGGATATAAAAGAGCAAACGAAGGCACTTGGTGTCGAGTGAGTAATTATTTTAGTTTGTTCGAACGATAATACGAAAGATAAAATACTTGCTTTAAAAAAAATTTGAATGGCCGTACATGAATTTGACGTGAGTTTGTAGAACCGGAAATGCAACACGTGGGCGCACGTTTGATTCAAGCCTGAGTATACATACAGAGCTGCGATTTCTTCGACCTCCTTATCATTCGCCAATTATCGATCTGAGTCATCGTTGTGCACATCATTGTGACATTAGTTGGTAGTTAGTAATAAAAAATAACTTACTTACAATTAAATACTAAATGGAGTACGATATAGGATTGAAATTAAAAAAAATGTGTGATATGAAACCGCGGCATACGTGCCTGAAATCTCAAACAGGAAAGCAAATAAAAGCCGGCTATGCAGTGACAAGTACATTATCAAGAAACGTTTACAAAAAGAAACTCGTAAAATCTTGCATGTGGGAGGTTCCTTGTACTCAAAGCTACAAAATGTAAGTAACAAAATTCTCAAGAAAAATCGAGTAGTTTCACAAGGAAGTATAATCGTAAAAAAATAAAAAGGAAATTGCTGATATTACTTTCTAGTTCGGAGAACTGAGAATGACCCCGCGTAAACCTGGAGCGCGGGAGTCACAAGTTCCCACCACGTGAGCGGGCATGCACTCATGCACTTCGCTCTTCGCACCAAATCAAAGATAAATGAGACGAGCCACTGGTCGTTGCAAAGTTAATTTCTATAGACGATATAGAATAAGAGTCTTTCGAAGAATCTGTCATAGTAGGTATTTACATCCGGCGCGTGGGCCACCCATAAGTTTTTCAATTGATTAATTAATTCATTTAAGTGTAATATTACTCACGTGGGTGATCGATGATTATCTGTATTGCAGCGCGTCGTACACGGGTAAGAGATCGGTCATTCGTGCGGAGATTACATTCCTTTCGCGTGAATTTTTGTTTGCCGCGGCTTAACGACGTGGACCAGTTGCTCCGACACTGAAATCCAGGCGCGAGCTGCTTCTCTACTGACTGTACTGAATCGCCGAGGCAATTTCGAGCCGGTCGGTCGCTCGGTTTTCCCTTACCACCTTCCGAGTTCGGACGCCAACCGGCGTCGGAGGAAGGCCTTTTGCTTTTGTGTCGTCACCACTGCTGGGTCACGTCGTTGCGGCGCCCTGCCCGTCGCGACACCGTTATCAATTCGCCTTCCTCTTGCGGCCCCGGCTGCGACTCTGCGAACTTTTCCAGTGCTAATTGTAAGAGGAATATTGGCGCCACTCCCTCTTCACTTGCAACTCATGCTTCTACCGATTCTTATCAATTCTGTTTTCATTCAGATTTAATCATGTCTACAAGATTGTATATTACATTACGTAGATAACTTGCATTCGCCGCAATTTCCGTTTTATTTGATACTGAAGATTTGATATCATTTCCAGCTCCATTTGCATTCTCTTGTCTCTTTAATGTAATCGTATTAATATGAAATTAATTAGTGAATTAGAGTATAAACTGCGATTGTATTGATTCGATTTTTACTTAAAATAAAAACATTCGTGGTATCAGTTTAAGAAACGCATTCTAAATAGATATTTCTTTTATCGTGTAAACATTCTAACAGGTATTTATTTTTTTATATTCTTTATATTCATTGCCGATGCAATTTTCCTATAAAGGCATAAAATCCGCAGGTTCTATACGCTACTGCAAACTAATACGGTGCGCTTTGGAGAGACGGTTGTCGACGCTGGTACTTAACGAGTTTTAATTGGTGGTAATTGAAAATTTTAGTCCGCCGAGTGCAACTGGCTGTATAGAGAAATAGATGCGCTCCGGTTGATAGAATTGCACTCGGTCGTATACAATAGGAATCCAGAACAGAATATTGTTATTACGTAGTGAACAGTAATTACAGCCACGTCGTTAAATAAAGAGATTAACACGGTCACGGTCGGTGCAATAATATTTCTGCGTAGTGTCTACAGACGACTAAACCTTTACATGCTAATAGATTTATGTTATTTAAAAAATCTGATTTAGATATAGTAAATGTCACGATTTCTACTCAATGATTTATTCTTTTATCACTTTACATGTTTACTTAAAATGATAGAAAAATAAAGTAGTGATTAGAAATTGGGATATTTAGCTTAGTGTTTCTGTCGTCATTTAAACATTGTCACATCTACACAGCTTTCAACATTATTCATATTTTCGTATAAATGCATGAAATCCGCCGTCTAACGACGATTTTCATCAAATTTTAATTGGCATTTCACGATTCTTTATTTCGATTGGACTTTATGTTTCCATAATGACGCACAATAAACTTATCTTGATAAATTACTGTCATGTGTTCAAAATTTTCTCTCATGACACAGTGGAAACGTGGATACAATTAACTTCGTCAAGTACACTCGAAGATATTAAGAGAATTCTACTAGAACGTGTTAAAATTATTAATCTTTCATCTCTCGACGACTGTAATCGGTATTCGAGTGCCACTTTTATCTTCTATCGCTGTTGTAAATTTATTTATAATCCGTCAATGCCACGTGAATTTCCCAATGTTTTATTCGCCCTTCTTCTATTCCCGTAGTAGTGAATTAAAACCACCACGTTTTTTCCAAAGTTCGCATAGTTTGCAAAAGAGGAAACGAGATTTCGTGAAATACGATAACGAAATAAAACACGCGATTTTCATTGAGTCATAAGTTCGTTCGATGACGGCGCTTACTGCTATCAGTTTAATAAGCCGGTTGCGCAATAGTAATAGGAGAGTCTAGACACTCGTGTTGATTAAAATTTTCAGTTACGTCCAATCTAGCTTCATCAGGACGTTGCAATCGCTTCTACGAAAATTCTGAAAATAACAGGATTCATCCTCGTACATACATATGTACGCTTCTATTTTTACTAAGAACGAATTTAAGAATCGAGTCAAATTCCTTACCGATTACTTTGTACCTTTGTTACTAGTTCTTGTAACATTGCACGATCATAAGTAATGTAAGAGGATGATTCAGTGTTTATATTTAATAAAGGAAGCATAGTTATAGTTATTGATAATCATCTATTTTTGTTTGTAGAATTTACTTCTGCTAAAATCTAAATATAGTTAGCCGACGCTCTCCCTTACAACTTCGTTGGGTAGGACCTGTCGGAGAAGCGGCAATTCATTGTGCAGCGTTGCTCCACAAAAAAAGGTAGACTTGGGCAACCTTCGTCCCTTCAGATCAATGAATGGGTCTGAATCCCTTTCTTGGCCGACCCGAAGCGGCCGTCGCCGTGTGAAACACGATCGTCCAGTTGCTCTCACGGTCGGACGTTGACTTCTCTGGAAAACGTAGTTGCAAAGTGCATCGACTAATGTTCATAAATTTCTATTTTCTCATTTTTCTTGATCAAATCGATGATTTGCAACACAATGATTGCTTTGCATCATATTCCAGTGTATTAAATGCTATTTAATTTTTCCTTCAATAGAAAAACGAATAAGGAAATCAATTTTTGGCGTTACGCGATCCGCACTATTTGTTCTAATTAAACGAGACATTTCGCGAACATTGTTCCCCTCAATAAGAAATGCGGAATGTCTTGATTACGGTTGGAAGGAGCAGCACGCGCCGCAACTGGAATGCAATATGGTACTCTCCGGCATTCCATTATCAAGAAATTTCATCGAAGTCGGTATTTTTCACCCTGTGCGCAAAATCCTCAAAAATGTGAACGGGAATTGGAAATAGAAATAAAATACGTGAACTCAGTACAGGAAAAATCTTTTTAATTTGCATCTTATAGATTATAATAATGAAGAGTTCCTCCCCCTTCTCGCTCCACTTAAATTATATAATAATTGGAAATTCTAATCTTGCGACCTAGATAGCCTTGATTCCCTCTTTATTAAAAATTAATAACACCGATAGTTGAATTTTAACACGTTCCGTGCCAAGCCCGTCTTGCTTGACTTTTCAGTTAGATTATTTAATGTTTTGACTAATGCTGATATGTTAAAACAATTAATATTTCATTACATCATTAATCCATAAGTTATATTTTTTTAAATTTAATTAGCTTGTTATCGATAGTATAGAACAGTTATCACATCGCGTACCATCCGCGATACACGCGATGTTACAGTTTAAACTTGTAAAATATATGTTTTGTCAGCGTGTGTCACCAGTTGGTACACGCGGCCTGAATGGAAAGTTTAACGTAGTTACACGTGTCACGGAACATGTCAAATAAATCAACTACGTATAAAACAACTACGTAACAAAAAGAACTCCTGAATATCTGCTGCATTTATTATTCGATATTACTGACCGATTTAATAATCTTAGAGGCGCATGAGCCACGCTTGCGCGCCGTAAAGACACGGCGGCAAAGGCTGTGGCGTACGAAGTCTTCGTCCTTCCAGATCCTCCGGATTCTGTTAGTAAAAATCGACGAAGCGAAGACGAAGGTTCGTGAACCACAGTACTCGACGAATTACAAATAAAGAATAACTAACTTTGAAAACGATAAGATTGTCTTCGAAACTGTAAAATGTTCTGGAGATTTTATCTACTGATTTTACTTTCTTTAAAAAATGCCTCTTGCTTATCCTGGCACGATCATCAAAATAGAGGAGAATATTCCGAGAGGAAAGATATTCACTCTGTCCCGCTTGGCTCGGAAGCCACTTTTCATTGGAGGTATATTCTTTTTGTATGAAGCAACTTCGATTTCTATTGCAATATATAGTCTTCGCAAATATCTCACTGTCGTATTATGTTAAATTGGAAAATTAATTATTTGATTTAAATACAATTTTATGTGCCTTTTTAATTATCGTTAGAGTCGATTTCATGAGCGAAACCATAATTGCCGAGATCCATTACGTAGGCGCCGACAATACCTGGTTTGCAATCGGTTTTTCGAATTACGGGGAATTGAAATCAGCTGATTATTGCGTCCTGTGGATTGATTGGCATCGTCAAATTCAGCTACAAGTATCACAAACATACACGTTTGGCACATTATTAAAAAAGTGAAAGCGTTGTCGGAGAGATTATAAAGGAGATATCGTGCTTTCAGGATGCTTGGGCGGATGATGAAGGAAAGTTGAATCTGGATCAGCAACAGGATTGTGAGAATTTCGCATGGAGAAGAAGAGGAAATGTAACGAAGTTCACCTTCACGAGGAAATTCGACACTTGCGATGAGAACGATTATATTATGGAAGTGCGTGAAACTAAATTACTTAATAAACTTGTTAAAAATTATGCTTAATTAATTGAAAGTTCAAGTGTATTAATTATTATCGAAGACGATCGCTTCGATTCTCGTTATTGAATAGCTGGTTCCTTTGCGACGATTTTTATTTGTAGAGAGGCACCACGCATTTGGTATGGTTGAAGGGCTTGGGACCGCTCTCGTCCCTGGCTGGTTTGCAGATCTCCGACGCGGATGCTTCCGGCATGTCCAGAACAGAATTGATCAGGGTGGTTCACAAGAAGCCGGCTTTTCCTTCGAACGCTTGGCAATTAGAAGTCATGGCTGACCGTGTAAAGGTACCGAACAAGGAAACGACTTACTGGTGCCGCGTACAAAAATTACCACCAGTTCTGGCTCAAAAGTGAGTTAATTGAGACCAGCAACGATCTTACCAATTTTCTCAACACATTACTGTTCTCAGGCACCATATTCTACAATTTGGCCCGATTATACAAACGGGCAATGATCATTTAGTGCATCACATGGAGGTTTTTCATTGCGCCGGACCGCCGAGTCTTCAAGTTCCTATGTACGACGGCCCCTGCGATGCAGCTAACAGGCCAGACAAAACTCAAGTAAATACAACAGTAATTTATTAATATCGTAGTTACATAGTGTTAATATATCCGGAGAGAAAAGCATCACTCTTATTTAATTTATTTCTTAGATATGTAAAAAGGTATTGGCAGCATGGGCAATGGGAGCAGACGCTTTCGTCTATCCAGAGGAAGCTGGCCTCTCTATCGGTGGCAAGGATTTCAATCCTTACGTGATGCTAGAGGTTCATTACAACAATCCTGAGCTCCAGGGTGGGAACATTGATTCCTCTGGAATTCGGTTTATTCTTACCAAGAGTCTTCGGAAATATGACGCCGGTGTGATAGAACTGGGCTTAGAATACACGGATAAAATGGCGATTCCTCCGCAACAAGTAAATTATTAAAACACAATTTATAATTTCAAGAACCGTTTTATGTTTATCGAAATTGCAGGAAGCGTTTACTTTGTCGGGACACTGTATACAAGAGTGTACAGGTGTTGGTTTACCGCAGCATGGTATTCACGTGTTCGCGTCTCAACTTCATACGCATTTAACAGGCACAAGAGTTGTGACTCGACATATCAGGGACGGCGAGGAATTACCTATGTTGAATTACGATAATCATTATTCCACACACTTTCAAGAAATTAGACTTTTACCGAAGCCTGTCGTCATCTTGCCCGTAAGAACAAATGATAATTATTTATGTCGTTCCGACAAAGTAGTTATTTGCATGGGAATGATTGATTGCAGGGAGACTCTTTGATAACGACTTGCACGTACAATACAGTGAATAGAGAGAACGTCACTTTGGGTGGATTTGCTATTTCTGATGAAATGTGCGTGAATTACATTCACTATTACCCTAACGCTCGGCTAGAGGTATGTAACTATTACAAATCTCTCTGTGGAGCAAATTCTATGGTTTAATTCATTTCTTACAGGTTTGCAAGAGCGCCATCAGCGACGATGCTCTCAGAACGTATTTTCGATACATTCGGGAATGGGAGAATCAACCAACTAACGATGAACAAGGCATCTCGTCTAACTATAAAAGCATCGAATGGACCAAAGTTCGTGTACAAGCTCTCCATGACTTGTACGAAGCTGCGCCATTAGGTTGCAAATTATAGTATACTCAGAGAATTTCCAATTGTGGTTTTTCATTAGTAAGTAAAACTGTTTTCTATCAGGAATGCAATGCAACGGTTCGGATGGGACTCGACTTCCCGGGCTATGGGACAACATAGCGGCTACGCCGGTTAAACTACCCTTACCTCCGCCTGCTCGCAGTTGTCCGAATTTATCGTTAAAGGAGAAATTATTAAGCTCCTTGTAAAAATTATTTTCTGTCACACAATATTTATATCTATTTTCAAAAACGTTAACGAAATGAAAGTTTATGTCGAAAGATGTATAATCTATTATAGATTTCCAGTGATCCGTAGACGTTTAAACTCGATCAGCTTATAAATAAAATGCTTCGTTAGACGGTAAACACGTCGATTTCTCTGTGGTATTATTAAGACTGTTCTATTTCATCGTTCAAAAGAATATATATGGTTACTAAGAGTAAAGTAACAGATGTAACGTGCTCTAACTTAAAATACTTTTGTATAAAGAACGTGGATAGAAGAAAAAAGTAGAAAGACTACGCTCGGGGGTAACTGTATAAACATTCTAATGAAAAGTTTATAAACTTTCAGTATATTTATACACTTGAAGGGTTCCTTCTTTTGGCAGTACATCATTTTGCTGCGGGTAAGCTTAGCCTAATCGAATGTACGTTAACAAATACTTGGTTCTATGACAAAATCGGTACTTGTAAAGTGTGGAATAATAAAAATAATTATAGTTGTAATAATAATAATAAGAAGAAGAAGTCGCAATCGCGGAAACTTTGTTTTTACACATTTTACGAATGTACAAAATAGGGATGCGTCTTAACGCTAAATGCGATATAAAAATTAAAGATATCCAATTATTTACGATATAATACACATGGGCGGGTTATACACACATACATACATACATACATACATACATACATACATATACACACACACACACGCTGAAATCATGCATACGATTAATTTAATAGCCTTGTCCGCTCTGTTAAAGCGCGAAGAACACTTCCGGGAAAGTACCTTGGCGTGATCATTATTTCTTCTGTATGTAGATTTTCATTTTGCAATTTCTTCTCTCGTTCTCTTTCGTTTACGTTTTTGCCGTCTCTTATGCGCGGCTCCACTTTTTATCGAACACTTGTCAGACTTGTCTGTCGACCTTGGTAATACACGGTATTAGTAGCTCGCAAAATGTCCATAGCGTGATGCGGGATTCTAACGAGTATTAAATTTGTACTGCCAAATGTTTCCGTTCGGTTCAACCTTTTGAAGCATACATCTAGTCGAAATTTACGTTCGTTTATTTTTACGTTTTTCCAGTACTCTTTATAGAGATATGTTACGAAGATATAGAGATTAGTTATAGAAAAATATTGTTAACCGGCAGTGAGAGAATATATGTATACTATATAGAAATTCAAATCGAAAGTAAAATCATTTTCTTTTTTGAATTATTTAAAATGCAATACTTCAAAGGGTCGATCGTAGTATTCCATTAAAAGTATGAGACAGAATCTACTTTCTCATGTGATGCGCTTAATTAAGCTGCGTTTAGACTTGAGATATATGGATTTTGGCAAATCTAAAAAATAGCTGCTGAGGGACTACTGAACGTAGTCTACCTGATTGGATGAGGAATGTACGTATGTCTATGCGCAATAAAAATACGACGCATTAAAATTGCACATATAAAATATTGCATTTGTCGAAGGCTTGGAAGATCTCTCTAAAACAGCATTTTCCTTTTGAATTTTTTAAGCGAATCAATAAAATCATCAGTGCCTCTTTTCGTAAAAATTCGACTGTCTCATGGATAAACGAACGTGAGCTTAATTACAGCATTAATCGGTTCGCTTCATAATATTCCTTACAAATCTTCCTTCGAAATATCCGTATAAAGAATATAATTGGCGAGAAAAACCTGGCTCCCGTAGAAAACCTGAATTGGTAGAAAGTGATATATGTATAGCAAGTATATTTTGCGTACACTATGTAAAAGCTTTGATTCGCGCATCTTAGAGGAACGTGCTTTCTGAAACGCTTAGGAACGTGATTCTCTCGAATACGTGGACATTCTCGTGGACATATGCATAAAAAAATTTAGACTCTCTACTAGGAACACGCCCCATTGGAAAAAGTACTTAATTTCTAAAGCGTGGATGCGTCTGTGACCGGACTTCCGTGTTTATTGTGTCTTCTTCTCGTTGGAGAAGTTTTCTCTCTTTTCCCTTCCTTCCGACTCTCGTACGAAAATTTCCTACTCTCTTTATTTTTACGTGCGATCATCACGTAAGAGATCGTGGCTAGAATTTCGCGAATTACATATAAGAATAAAATACATGTGTATAAAGGAGTTTAAAATACAAGGTACTTGTATTTTCAAGTCCACTTTGCAACGTTCCAAAAGAAATTTCATCAATCGGGGGTTTCTCTTCTTCGTCAAAGCCAGTGTGTCTACTTACGCGTCTAGTTCAGCGTTATAGTAAAACTAATAAAATATATATATACATATACATGCATATGTATATATAATAAAAAATCGTTAATCGTATTTTACAGCGTGAGTTGCAAGCGCGATCTCGAACCCGCGAAGAGCCAGCAGTAACATCTCGTGATGTGTATTATCAACAAGAACCTCTCGACTAGAGTGACTGATTGTTCTGTTGCATATGTATCTGCAAGAAACAGTAAAGTATACCGGCCTGCGCCATCACGTCGACGGTGCCCGCGGCCAACGGGTCGCGACTCTTCGCGTCCGATCGCGAGTTCGTGCCCGGGCGTAGAAGCGTCGGTCCGAACACGGTCGCCAAATTGTGCAGTGACATTTTGTTCTGAGCTTCGTGTTTATTGACTCGTATCAAATGAGCGAGTAGAAAGTCGATCACCGCTTTATTCACAGCAGGCAAACCCTCGTAGACTCTTCTTAACGCAGCACCTTTCGATAACTCGCCCGACTGGAAAGCTTCCAAGAATGCCGGGTAAAGAGCATCCGTGAAGAGAGCTTCCGGCATTTCGCGGAGATACAACTTGAGCACACCCGTCACGGAATGGACATCAACCTATACAAATTCAATTATTAAATATGCAAGAGATTAAAAATTTATATAATCTTGTAGTATAATAAATACCCCTTTAAGTAATTGTTCTGCTTCGTACGAGTTACTTTCAAACGATTTACGTAATTTTGTTAAATCGGAAGCCGAACCAGAAACGCGGTACAGTCCTACTTCTCCAACTCCTCTCTTTTCTACCTCTCTAACGCACGCTGTTATGATAAAAGGAACGTCGCGTTTTTCGCGTCTGTAGAAGAGATATGAATTTAAATACTTGTGATAAGCAATGGACGTATTACAGAACGCCGAGACGTACTTGCACACTTGTTGAATTTTAGCTCCAAATAAACCTTGAGGTTTAGCGGACGGTACCCGCCTCAACGTCACTTCACTTGGGACGAAGCGGAGGGCCATGTCTAACGTGGCCGGGCCCAAATTCAACGATCTCTCTACTTGATCAGACTGCAGCCAAGATCTGCTCAATCTCTGTATACATTTGCCTCGTAGCACAGAACGCGACCCGCATTCTTCGTACAATAAGATTCGAACGTTTTGACTTCCCTCCAGTTCCACCACAAATGTTTCACCTTCAATGAAATTAGACAATTAGTTATAATTAACATTTATCAAATCTTTGAATTCTTCCTTGCAGAACTACTATTTACCCCAGGTCGGAGCTTGTCCTCTCGCGACGCGACTTTTTGCTCGCTTGAAATAGTGTCCGTAACTGTCAACCTCCACAACAATATAAAGATCTCCGATTCTATCTAAACCTGGCGGCGTCAGACCAAGTAACGTCAAATGGAGATCGCCTAATAACAAACTTTCATCGCGTCCTGATCTTAATAAATAGCTGCCCATATCTGTTTGAAGATAAGTACGACAAGCTGTTACCCAAGCCTGTAACTCGTACATCGATAACGGTAGCGGCCCCGGTGGCTGTCCACCCTAAAAACAATTTGCCATGTATATTGTTCCCTTTTTAGAAAGATTGTCTGGTGGCTTTTTCTGAACTATCGTTACTTGTATCCTCGTGTCGGATTTTAATAAGAATGTGTATATCGTTAATTATATTATTTATTTAATCGAAATCAGTAAATTACGCACCTTTGACTTATCTACGTACATATGGGAACGCATTACCTGTTGCAATGCCTCCATCGCTTCAACCCATTGAGACCGTTCAAATTCACTGGATAGAAAGAACGTGTAAGAGTTTTGCACACGCTGCTGACTTTTATGCGCTACGCGTAATACTAAATTCGGTGACGCTAATACTAATTGAGCTTCGAGCTCGGCAAGCTTCTTCCTATTCTTTTCCGAACCTTTACCACCAAGTCTAATTCGTTTCTCGTCGTTCCGTTCCTCCCACAAAATCTGATCACGTACTGTACATGCTTGTGACCTGAATGTATAAATATTCAACGATGCAATCTTTACTCTGTAGATCATTAACAGCACATAACACACTTTGGGCATACCTCAGAGCTACGACATTAGCCGGACTAGTCTCGCGCGGTTCTATTCCATCTTCCGTCACCACCGCCTCTGCCACCGGTACGTACCACTTCAACTCAAACGTGAATTTATCTCTACCAGAAGCTTTGTACTTAGCGCAGGCAATCACGTCGTTGAAAAGGAAAAGATGTCTCAACTTCCTATGACCGTCGGACAATTCCACCACGAATGAGTTCTTCACTAATCTTCGTTGCGCTCTATCATGACTCTAAAACACGGCACAAACATATATATTTTACACAAGAACCAGAATTAACAGTTTGTACACCGTTGCATGATATCTACCGGAAACATTGATTTCGTTTGAATGATGTTGAACTCGTCTAGAAAATTTCTGATCATAGCATGAGCGTCTGACAGCGGTGCATGATCAGCATGATTCACGGGCGTATGCTTAAGAAGATCCTACAATCAGTCGAGGCAATATTATCAACTGCGAATCCGATAAGATAAAATTAACAAAGTAGATTCCCATATAAATTTATCAAGCTTTCCGATTAACGTTACGCCATCGATACTGCGTTATACTTACGTGCAATACTAAGGCATTCTTTTGTACTCGAGCTACTGGTTTGTGCAAAAGATCTTCGAGAGATAATCCTGGTCCTTTGGGAAATCCTCTTAGCCGGATGTCCTTTGTGATTTCTGCGAACTGCGTGGAATGCGCGGAACACCTCCGCACGGTATCAGTAGCGCGAGCATAATTATGTAAAAAAGCTCCGTACAATCCTATATTGCTGGCCATTACTCTGAACTGTTCGCCAATGGTAGTTTTACTGTCCCATTTCTCGAGTTTTTTTCTAAGACCATCCAAAAACGTTTGATGCAGCGCATGCAATTCAGGAATTTTATAGAACATCGTGCCGAATTCGTCCTCGGAAATAACAGGCTGAGACGTCGTCAACGTAGCCTTGATGGCTTTCATATACTAAAGAGACAAATATTGTTAATCAAATTGATGGCGCCTCGCTTTATGTAAACTAGCAGACAATTACACACCTGCAACATTACGTTTAAACACTCAACATAAATAGTTTCACTTTCCACTACGGAGTTGACGATACATTTAATCATCGATGTTCTATCGTCCTCGCGATCTTTGCTTTTCTCTTGCCTACGAGGCGTAGTGGGCGTCGGTGATTCTAAACTACCCTCGCTCAAACTCAAAGGCTCTGCATCGCTGCTACCAGTTTCATTGTCAGTACTAAGAGCACGTAATAAAATCGGTGGTGCAGGATTCGCGCCCTCTTCGTCCTCGCTGTCCATTGCAACCCTCTGTCTATAAATAAATAATCATCAATGATATAAATATTACAGATTTTTAGTGCAGAATAATGCAACCTCAATAGAGCTTACTGTATAAAATAATCGATGTTGACATAATTGCTTTGATTCCCCGGTGAATCTGGCAGGGAGGGTGGTCGCCTCGGTGGTGCTCTACTACCGTTATTGTTCACTCCACTAACGGGAGGAACACGAGAATCGATATATACATATTCTCCTGTCTGATCTAAGGCTACGGAATCATAGTATGGTTCTTCTTCGGATGCCTCCGCATCACCGTCCTCCCCGTCCTCGTTAACCGCGTTTTCCAAATCCTTTTCATCCTCCTCTTTGAGAGATTCTTCATTTTTATCCTTCTTTGAAGTTCCGGTCACTTCGATCACTGTTACGTAATTGCTTGTCACGTCTGGATCACTGTTTCTTCTAAGTTCAGGCACTTTATCAGGACTCCTCGGTATCTCGCTTTTCGGTCGTTTGTTTGAATTAAGAGTGGAGCTCAATTCAGAGAGGCATTTGTCTTGAAATTTGCTTATGTCTTCGCGAGCTGGAAGAGGCGGTGCCGATGCCTCCACGTGTTGAACCACGGTGCTCGTAGATCCAGACAAATTATTCTCTGTTTGAACAGAGTGCTGATTTTGGGAGTCTGAGGATTGTTTCTCCGGAGTGGTTGCAGCACTACTGTTCGCCAACTGTTTATGGCGCTCGACATCTGCTAACAATCTCTCTAAATATTCTATGTATAATTCTTCCTTTTCAAGTTCTTCCCTCAGAGCAGACACCTTAAAAAAAATAGCATTTCTTAATGATCAATTTCATCAGTTTTATGTCAAATATAAATAATACGGGCATATCTTTTTACATGTGTGATAGTCAAACTGAGATAAGCAGTAAGTGATGATTCAGATCCAGTAAACTCAAATGAGGATGTTTGGTAATAGGAATATGACTTGTTCCTGGTATAAAAATCAATGAAACATATTCCAAACTTTATGTTTGTAAAAATAAATGTAAAAAAGATATATAATAGACTAATATTAAATATGCACGACGTATTGAAAAAGAATTTATTGCACAATAATTTTTTAATTAGTTCTATATTGATATGATGATATACAGTGCAACAAATTTTGACTTTAATTTAACGTAAATTAAGTTAGTTTCCCAGTTAAGCAAGGAATTAATATGATGACTCATAGAATAGAGTTCCCAATGCATCAGCAAGGAGGAAAATTTTATATAATAAGAAGTTACTAAAGCTTCATCATACTTCTCCAGAGTATTACTTTTAAGTAGGTACTTAATTCTAATAACAAAATCCACTTAGAAAATGACATAAACTTGAGCAAACTATGAAAATAAAAATATGACAAGTATCCTTTATTGTTGTACAATTCTATCAAAGAACTGAAGTGCATCTTTTGTTAACTACAAAATGTATTATCGCTAATAAAAGGAGACAAAACCCTCTCTGTAGTCAATTATTTAATTCCAATCAAAAGTTTATATCATGACGTTTGAAGATTTCTGATCTCATTTCCGATACCTAAGTAATGATTTATCAGCGAATATTCTTATAGAATTCTCATGTACGAATCCTTTGTCATGGTAATTAGGAGGTAAAAACACGATTCCCGATTTCGACTCTCACCTTCTGTTTATGCTTGAGTAGGTTGTCCCTGACGTTCTCTTCCCAGGCCGCCGGCAAGGCGCTGTCCGGGAATCTTTGTACCCAGACACGCTGGAAATCCCCGAAAACGCTCATCACTTCACTCCGCCGTGTTTAAAACGAGCACTCCTCGGGGACGATGACAGTATCGTGCACAATTCAGATCGCTGTGTACATTGCACAGGCACGGCGGTCCCTCACCCGAATTCGACTGATTACGATCTCGTTCCGAAACGGAGAACCCACTGAGACGGACGTGAGACCACCGTAACGAGGCATAAGTTGTTCGTTACGTCCGTGAACAATTCCTTACTTCCTGGTTATACGCCGAACCTGTGCCTGCGCCCAACAGCCAACGGAACCGAGCGTCATACGGCCGCTGTCATCTCCTGCGTAGCTCACGTAGATCCAGTCCCCATGCCCTCTCCTATCATTTTGACGCCTCCGCTATACTCAGTTCGCGTACACTGATCTTACGGGTGTCTACGTACATGAATACATACTCGCAATTAAGCATTTATAGATTAATTTGTAACTATGTAACCACTGAATGAATTAACGAGCTTACTTGTTAGTTACAGATGTATATTAATTTATAATTGTTTAGTATTACTACGATGTAAAGGACGAGTAGAAGTTGAAATTAAATGCCCAGTTGAACACGCTGCTTTAAAGTCAGCAGGTGCGCTTCACGCATGATGATACATACTAACACCGTTGCACATGTACACGCATGCACATACATAGGTATGTTGTGTATATGCATTTTCACGGTGCGCTTACGCAAAATAGAAATTTGTGTTTGTTCTAAAACGCAGTTAAAATCGTTCTATTCGCTTTCGAAAAACGAGACTTATTATAACTCACGTTTTTCGAAGACGAATGTCTTCTATTTCAGTATTATGTATTGATGTCGATTTTATTGCTATAAGCGGAAATATAATTACGCATTGCACTCTTTAAAATAAATTATATGACGTAATAAATATGAACACTCTGATTATATGTTTTCGGTAAAAGAATCAATTCTCTGCTCACTATCCATCTATTTTTAATACATCTTTGCTATTGAGCGAATAACTTAATGATTACTTTCCCAATTATAATAATGATGACATTTGCAGGGGATACATGATAAAAATCGCATTCATTTTAAATGTTTAGACATACAATTCCTGTTAAATAAAGATCATAAATACTCATCATCATGTTTATCGAATACCTTATCCAAGAATTCAAGTCATTAATATTCTCTCCAAATGTTAATTGTTTCAATTAAAATATTCCACGATCTTCCTATATCACGTGTCTACTAACTTAACAGCGGGATATTTAAAGGAGAAATTGTGTAAAATAATTAATTAATTCTATTTATAAAGTTATGAACTCGTAAGTCAAAGTATCTACGAGTATTGTAGGTATAATATAGATCAACGCTGTTTTGATAATACAAAACCATCGATTAAATTAGATTTTTTTTCACCTCACTTTTGTAAGTTACTGTACGGGTGTAGCTGTCATACTCGTTGACAGCACATTTTAGAGGTTATGTTTCTTTCAAGAAAGTAACGAATTTACGTTGATTTTTCGACTAATTTGTAAAAATGTCGAGCGTGGATGAAAGGCAGGAAGGTACGATACTCCGCGAATTGGTAAAACACATCAAATCGGAATCGAAGAGTGGCATTTTGTCGTGTTTGATAAGACTCAAAAACGACTCTAAGTGCTTCAAGCATTTCGTTAAAGATGGTGGCCTGGGTATTTTAATTAATTTACTTAATTATCAAAATATGAAAATATTAAATGTTACTTTGAGTATCTTGGCGAACGCTTGTATGACTTCTGACACCAGGGAGAAGGTAGGAACATATTTTATTTCTTTTAACATTTAACAATCAACTCTATGATGTATAAACATTATTTCACGTATGTTACTTTCTAGGTGAGGGAATCCAAAATAGCAAGTCGAGTAGTTTGTATAATAAAGCATATCAAACTTGGAAATACCATACACTGCCGTGCATGTAGACTGATTGGGAATTTGGCAGAATGTGACTGGCATGCACAATCATTATGCAAGGCTGGTGCTATTCAAGCTTTAGTAGAACTTTTTAAAGTAGATATAAATATGCAAACTTATTTAATGGGTATTAGGGCTATAAGGTACCTAAAAAACATAATTTACATATAAATAAAATCCTTGTCTCTAAACAATATTCTTATAAATATTATATTTGCCTTTGTAGGAATATTTGGAGTATGTACGAGGGTAGTAGAGAAGAAATTTTAGAGTCTGGAATAATATGTAGAATTACAAATATATTAGTCTCTACAAAAGAGCAGTCGGAAATAGATAAAAAGTATCTAGAATTAATAGAAACTTGTTTAAAAGCAATGTGTGCTTTTTTGTCCACGTCCGATCCCCGAGTCGGGGAACAAATGCGGGGAGAGAAAGACTTGCAAGGATATAGATGTATTGTACAATGTTGCGATACAAACAACAAAGTGGCGATTAAATGTTTGTACAATCTTTGCCAAATCGCTGAGTGTCGACCTATTCTTGGCAATTCTGGTGCTGTCGAAACTGTTATTGCTCTCATTAAGGATCGATCGGAATTATCTAAGGAGACGTTAGCCAGTTTATGCGTATTTTGTAGAGAGGCTGTAAATCGTTCACGAGTCAGACTGGGATTTGGCTTAGAATTAATGTTGTCTTTGTTAAGAGATCCCAAGCACGAGAAGTTTCATCCAATGCTTCTGCATGCTCTGGCACAATTTATTTACGACAGTCCAAGCATTGTGATTATGGTAAAAAATGGTCTGCTCGACGTAATTGTTACCAGATTAAAGAAGATGGTAACTGAAACAATGTTTAGTGAAGAGACTAACGCTTCGAAAAAAAGAGGCCGGGACTCTCCTTCTGGCAAACAAATTGAATCGAAGTACAACAAGATGAGCTTGGGACGATTTAGTTCAGATTATTATCGGGACGATTGGAGCCCGGGCAGCGCTGCTAGTGTGTCATCCTCGCCTCCTAGCACACCGCCGTTGCCTTTCTACGACTCTGTTGAGAGCGACGAAAATACCGAAGATAATTACAGTCCAGTTTGTAGCGATACAGAAATGTTGGACAACGAAGACGGTACGTAAAATTAATAAATTTCGAAAAAGACAGGATTCAATAGTAATTATATAGTATATATAGTATATACTTTATTTTAGAGCCCCAAGCTGAAGTTGAATCATTGAAAAGCTGTAAGTCGATGACAGACCCAGATGAGTGTCGGAACTCGGAGAAGGGAAACAAGTCGAATATCTGGGAATATGCAAATCTGTGGACACTAGTGCTGTTAAGTCGATTAAGTCATTCAGATGATCCAATCGATAGATTAGCTGACCCTGCAATTATCGAAGCTCTGTCGGCTTATATCAAACACGCTAAAAATCCAAGAGCGTCCAGAATCTTAATTAGGATCATAAGGTAACTAGTATAATTCAAGTTTCATTATTTAACAGAGTTATGTACTTCAATCATCTGTTTATATATATTTTATCATTTATGTAGGAATGGAGCATATTTAATACCGTTACTGAAACAAGGCTTCGTCTTCGAGGCTCAAACATTATACGGTTCGGAACAATACACGCGACAATTATGCGCCCTAGCAGAAACTGGAGGAGCAATAGGCGAGCTTACATCTATACTACTTCGTGGAGAGGAAACTCATAAACTGATCATCGCGGTTTCGATACCATTTCTGATCAAGTCTCGATATACTCTCAAGTCATTGTTAAACAATCACGGTGGCCTCCGATTAATATTTCGTGTGTTATCCGATAAGCAACACAGCCTCTACGAGAACGCAATTTGGTCTATTTGCCGGTTAGCAACCACGTTGGACGTTCAACCAGAGATTATAGAGAAGTATCAAATCGCGTACACGGCGTCGACCGATTTTCCAAAAGTGTACGACAGCCATCCGAAACCTGCGACGGTCACGTTCGAACTGGACGACGGCACGACTGTCGATGCTTGCAGACAGACGTTGTGTCAAAAATCGGACGCGTTTTCCGCGATGCTCGAAGGTAATTTCTCGGAATCGGGCAAGAAATGCGTGAAATTGCGGAACACGTCGAAAGAGGGTCTGGACACGTTGTTACTGGCTCTGAACGGAGCTACTTTCGAGAACAGAACGATCGAGTCTCTGTTGGACGCAGTGTTGCTGGCTGACAAGTTTCTAATGGCTGACGTGTCCGACATTTTAACGGAGAGCTCTATCTCGAAATTAAATTACGAGAACTTCGGCAGGGCTTGGAATTGGGCGAGAATGAACTCGTGTCATGAACTGAGATCTTGCTGCATCAAAAGGTTTCTGACAGCGTCGATGACCAAGTCCGAAACGGTTCAAGCATTTCAAAATTTTTTTATCACCGGTTGTTTTCACGAGTTTTTGAACGAAATCAAGGAAATTATTAATAGCGTTTTGTGCCAATGCTAACGAATAATTAATTGTGATATTTAATAGGGAAGACTCAGTTAGTAAGACTTTTATACGATAAAACATTTTATTAATCCAATCATGCTTAATGTGAATATATTTTAAAACGTGGAATTGATCTATATTGATAATTATATAATTTGTAGATGCAATTTGATTAATTATATATACACATAAACAATTGTAATTGTATATACTATTACGTGTATGGATTATGTATAGCGGCGATAGTATTTGGATCTAGTTTATTCGATATAAATGTTTACGGGTCAAATATTGTTGCTTTTAATAGACAAATAAAGAACGTGCAAAAGAGCAGAATATACTTCTTTATCCTTAAATAATATTTTTGGTCACTGGTTCCTTTCCGTCAGTTTTAACTTCATTGATTCCGACGGGACAGAAATCAAGTGCAAAATCATCTTCACCTGATCTTTGTTTATACAGTCTATCTTGAATGATTTGACCAACTGTAATTTTTAATATAAAATAATAATATAAACTCGATGTTTGATAATTGAATAAATTTATGTACCTCTGCCAACGCCAACGATATTTGTATCTCCGCAAGTTTTCGACCGATACAGCTTCGCGCGCCTAAAGCGAACGGCAAGCTCGCGTGCGGGTGCATCACACCTTGGTAAGTGCCCTTTTCCATCCTAATCCACCTTTCCGGAAGGAATTCGCTCGGCCGTGAAAAATTCATACTATCACGGCTGCTCGAATAAATCGATAACACAAGTAACTCCTGGAATAAAATTTTCTCGAAATTATTCAATTATACTTTCGCATTTTATAAAAAAAAACTGTAACAAATTCATTTACCCCTTTCGACACAAAGTAATTACCGATCACACTGTCCTGTGGTAAATACCGAGATATGAACGGAGCTATAGGATACAATCGAAGAGATTCCTTGATTATGCCTTTCATCAATGTTGAGCGCAATAATTCTTTTTGAGACAAATCTTTTATGTTCTCGAACAACTCTACTTGTCTCTCAGGATGATTGCACAGCAGCAACAATGTCCATTGCAGGGTAGTCGCTGTCTAAGCACAAAGTACAGAGTTACTTTTTATTTAATTTAATCGAGGCAGTGGAATTTTTATTTTAAAATCAAACATGAAATCGTACCGTGTCGCCAGCTGCTAAAATAAAATCGGTAACGATGCGCATCGCGTCTTCGTCTCGGATACCTTCCTCTTTCATTCTCTTTAATAAACCGTCGCCACCTAGTTTGATCATTTCCGGTACCAAGATTCGAACGATCTCGAAGGCTGTATCTACGGATTCCACGAATTTCCTCCAAACAGGTAAACGCAGATTCATCGCCAATTTAGCTGGTATTATGGACAGCGCAGTCGAATGCTCGAATATTTTGTGTAGCATCCTTGCCAATTTTTCGAAATCTCGTGATAATTGCTTTTTGTAAGTGCGCCAACTCGATCCCATCAACGTTGCCATCATTGCTATGATTTAAAAATGATTCTCTCATGCATCCTCTTTTGCATCTTCTTTCCCTTCAAAAAACATGTCATTTACCCTCTATAGACCATTGGTAAAGATGAATCTGCATGTCCTCTATGACCGAATTAATCTTAATCTGCTTCCGCCAATTCTCTTTAAGCTCCTCAGCCACCTCTTGACACGGGCCAGCCATTAAGTTCGACGGATCCGGTATCAACATCACTTTATTCAAAATCTTACGGAAGTGTATCCACTCCTCCCCATCCCTACGTATCCGAAATTTCAATTATACGAACTATTAAAAAAAAGGAAAACGAGCTAGTGAAACTACTGTACATGAACAACAAACCACGGCGGCACTTCCGCATTTCGTTGTACAGCATCCAAGCTTCCGGCAGGAAGTGTTTGGGTGCCGAGCCTTCCAGCCGGAAAATTCGACGGTACTCGTGCGGGGAATTGACGAAAACCGCGGTAACCGGTCCCAGGCGTTCCCTGTAGACCGGGCCCAATTCTCTGTGCCTTCTATCAACATATTCGTGCTGTCTCTTTGGACCGCCGGATAATATGAAAGATAACAAAGTTCCGAATACGGGAATTCCTCGTGGCTCTGGCGCTTCCTGCACGATACTATCGGTCGCGGCAGCTGCAGTCCCGTAATTTTTCTCCGTGATCTCGATCTTCGCGCCATCCGACACATCGTTCATTCTCGACGCGCGGGAAGCGCCTGCGTAATTGCAACCGGGTATATAGTATTTCGACGCGTTAAAACTGTTGCAAATAGTCAACGATTTTCCGTTCCTCAAAACATTTTGCGGGACGTTCATCTTCGCACCGAATAATCTGGTAATCTTTAGTAATCTAGTAATCTCTCCTCGATGATCTTCGTTAATTCCTATCTTGCCATTAACGGGTAAGACCGTCGACTGTCAAAACATCCTGACGTTATTTTCCATCGAATGCACGTTGCAGGACGAGTTCGTGTCAAATTCGAAACTCGCGTTTCGCCGACGAATCGTTTTCTTCAAAATTCACGTACGTGACTCGATCGAGAAGCGAGTAAAAATTTGATGCTTTGTGTTTCCCTTCTCTGGTATCATCCTTAATAACTCGAGTTCGATCGTGCGATAACGCTCGGTGGTGGTGATAGTTCAAACAAGCGGTGGTACACTTTGTTTTGCCCGGTCATGACGTTCATGTTAATTCCCGTGTTTTTCTTGTGATAACGAAACCGCTCGCGAGGAGCTTCGTGAAATATACTGTATAGTAATAGATACACCTGGATAATTATTGTGGTTTCAAACCGGAAACGGGTACAGTGAACGGGGACCAGCGAATTGCATACACGAATCCACGTAAAATGTTCATGGTAGCCACCGATAGTAGAACTTCACTGATACAAGCATGAAGAAGATCGAATACCGTTTGGCGTTTACTATGCCGTTATCTAGAAGCCGTTTACCCCTCCGCAGCAGGTTTCCACTTTCTTTCACAGAGAATTCCTTCGCTACGTTCTTATTTTCAACTGATTACAGTGGCGTCGAGATTAACATAATTAATCAACGTTCGTCACCGCAGCTCGTAGTTTTGTTAACAATTATCCGTTGTCATCGTATAAAAATTAAGCCAATTTTTATACAATGGATTTTATTTTACTCTAAGGTATTAACGCGATTGTGAGTCCAGCAACTAAATGACGTTTAACAAAAACAATACGATCGTACCTCTTTTAAAAAATCGCAAGTTTTTGTTAATTGTTATCAAGTACTGTCGTTTTCTCACGGTCCGTTCGCGGATATCCCGGACACATAACGCTTGACTACTGTACGCTGTTTAACAGTTTCGAAGATATTTAAATCTTCTTACATGGGTGGGGGGGTAGTCGGGACCACGTGCGCGATTCCAGGAATGAAGGATTATGTGCTATATAAAATTGCGTTCAACGCGGAGAAAAAATATTCTTCTCTACGCCCCATATATTACTCAATATTTGTTATCTGCTCAGTCGAGTAAAATCTTACTGCCACGAGAATAATTATTAATTTTAATCCAACGCGACCGTGTTCTTTATCGAAGAATAGCAAATAAGACAAGCGACGGTGAATTCTCTTAAAATAAGATTAAGGTACACAGTTTCTACATATCAATTGACCTTTTTTCTCAATGCGATGATGCATGCTTCACGTACGTTATTCAAAAAGTAGATATTCAGTCCCGATGGGAGGTATCAGTTGCATTATTTATAAACGCTACCGTTTTGTATAAAGTCCCCTGACTTCATACAACTTTGCCAACGGAATATATCATCTTTTATCTCTATGCAAATTGCATTCTCTTACGTACGTATGCGATCTGTCCTAACGATAACATTAGAAAAATAACTATCGCAAACGTGGTATTTTATAAAATTACATATTAAAACGTGATAACAGGAAAATGTGTATACTCCATTTCTTAACATGATGTTCCCGAAGTGACGTTCAGTGTATTTTCATATTGAAACAGTTCGGGGATCGACGTTTGGCTATTGAATGTTCTACAACGAACGAGGGAGGAAAAAAAACGGGCATACAGGTGCTATGTTTTCGTCGAACACTACGAACTGCGAGATGGAGCGCGGCGTTTGAATATAAAGGAACATGCACGTTTACCGGAGAATGCAAAGTACTTTTGTCTTCACAGATCGGTGGTGCTGTCTCTCTGGTCAACGACCGTGAAAAAATTCGCGTGATCAACGATACGACCGCAGGGCGACGGGTCAAATTCTCCTCGTTTGTACTTCGTATTGTGCTATTTGGAAACGTCGATTTTTTATCGTCTCTTTCTGTCCAAGGTAACATATTTCGTTTACGCATGAATACTTCTATGATCCTGTTTCAATCAACAATGAAAAATTGAAGACAAAGAATCGTTACGGATATATTTATTCATTTAGTGTCTGATTATAATTTTCATTAACGTCTCATTAATTGAATGTATTACACGATTTCGATTCAGATTATATAAGTACTATCTCGTTCTTAAGAAACAAAAAATGTATAATAAGTAATATACATTTTAATAGATTGTACAGACTAAGTGCAAATCTTTTTATAAGAAATATGGATTTTTTATCATTTTAATTGCATAATTCGTCATTTACTATTTAAAATCTAATAGCTATCCAGATGTAATTTAAATATATGTTCCAACACGATATATATATGTATAATCATACTTCTCTATTTTGAAATATTTTTAATTGATAACGAATACATGCTATGTTTTTTATATGAACTTTAGACCGTAGCCTTCATTCTGTTCTAGGAGCCGTCGGACGTTATCAAAATTGTCTGCGTGCTTCAATTGGATCATTGAATTCAAATCTCGAGTAGAAATAAAATACATTCTTTTCTATTTCCGATTAGTTACGTATATTCTTGAAAAGACGGTGCATGACATGCAAAGTGACTTCGTTACGCGAGGCTCGACGTCGAATTAAATTAATAATAAACAATGTAACGACTCATGAATGTTTCTTTTGAACATTCGAAGCGTGCATTCTTATCACGCGTTGAGCCTGAAGGTCGTAATAATCAAGGGCGAATTTTTAGAGCACTCTGTCGTTAAATGCTCGAGGAAGTGCTCGGCTGTGCTCGGCTGTTAGAAACCTTCGGAACCGCAATCGCGTACGAACAATTTCCAACAATATTCTAGTGAATCGTCGGACCGTCGTCCGCCTTTTTTTTTACTACGATGGACACCGACGTGGAATCATGTTTGAAAGACTGGAACGATTTAACAGAGCACGATTACAAGGAATTAGAAGTAAGACCATTTTCGATACATCCTTAACGTTGCCAATGCTTAATACGTTAGATCGTTTTCTGCGAGGTTACGTGTATTTTTCAATTGCCCGAACACAGGAATATCGCCGGTGTGCGAAGAGTTTATGCTGTAAATAACTGCGAAGTAGTATTTAAATATTCTTTCCTCAATTCGTCCGAAATTTTACTTCAGAACAATTCTTCCTTCTTGTTACCGTTCGTCAAATAATTAATTCATATTAATTATTGATCGATTTAATTGCAATCTCCTGAACATAGTTTGAATAATCAGTTTATTTAAGTGATATTGTTTTGTGTCAACAGACATTGCATAAAGAGTACCTTACAAAATTAGAGGAGGTGACTGAACTTCAGGCAAGATGTTTGAAAGGAATAGTGCATCAAAGGTACAGGATGGGTGTAATTTCCAAATCACTCAAAGTGTAAGTAATTCACTCTATCTATAGTAATTATATTCCAGTTAATTTTATTTTCAAGAAGGAACTTTAAGCTTCACTTAATCTCAGGTTAAAGGCAAATGAAATACAGAAGGATTTAAGTAAACAAATGACAAAAAGGAGACAGCAGTTGCATGAAATAGAACAAACTTTGCCGAAACCAAACGGCACGTACCTCAAGATTATTTTAGGCAATGTTAATGTCTCTATATTAAATAAAAATGATAAGTAAGTATAACGAGCATGTAATTACAAAGTAGTTGTCTATTATCTGGACATTTATATGAATTTCATTTATCTCCCAGGTTCAAATATAAAGATGAATATGAGAAGTTCAAGTTAGTTCTTTCTGTAATTGGCTTTATCTTATCATTATTAAATCTAGTAACCAATATCAGGTAATTGAAACTGAGCACTTATTCTATGAGCCGGTATTAAATACCGATGCAACAAGTTTTTAGAATAATTCAATTTTCAGAACGTTGGAGCTTAGTTTCATGTTCGTGTTAGTCTGGTACTATTGTACACTGACGATACGAGAAAGTATATTGAAGGTAAATGGTTCAAGAATCAAAGGCTGGTGGAGATTTCATCACTTCCTTTCAACTGTAATATCTGGTGTTTTATTAGTATGGCCTAATACCGGGCCGTGGTATGCATTTAGGCAACAGTTCATGTGGTTTAATCTGTACATAAGTGAGTCGCGTATATCCAAACGAACGTTGCATTTCCTTTATTGAATAACATGAAATAAGTCTGTTTTTGCAGGTATAGTACAATATCTACAGTTCTGTTATCAGCGAGGCGTTCTATATCGTTTGAAAGCATTAGGCGAAAGAGATAATATGGACATCACTATCGAAGGTTTTCATTCGTGGATGTGGCGCGGACTATCCTTCTTATTACCATTCCTTTTCATTGGATACATATTCCAATTGTACAACGCATACGTATTGTACTTGTTAATATCTCACCCAGATGCGACGTGGCACGTTTCAGTCCTCAGTGCCATGTTCTTGGTATTATTCCTGGGCAACACAACCACCACCACCCTGGTAGTCCACCAAAAATTAAGAGAACAAGTGAGAGAACAGGTGAGATACCATTTCCCGAGAGTGTTCGCGTCTAAACCGGAATGCAAGAAGGAAGTGAATGGAGAAGAGGATGCCAAAGCTCAGAAAAGCGAATAAACTCAATTGGAAGGAAATAATAAGAGAAATAGTAAACACTTTGAATGGGTAAAATATAAATATCACGGGTCTAAAGTTAAAGGTAATATAGAAACGGGATTTACATAGAGTGTGGGTGGGGTACCCGAATCAGGAGGCATGGGCCAAAAAAGCAAACCAGAAAGTAGATCAAGTATTATAAGATTCTTTCCTCCACGTGTCGATGTATTTCTACAATTATATTCAGAGCACAAGACTACCTAATGTACCGTTTAGTTCGTCGTAATGTAGAATCTACTCTCGGAGAATATTCGTTTCGTATGCCCTTTCATATCGCAACAAAATATTTCCCATTTCGGTGAACATTTACTCCTGTACGGAGAAGCAGCATGATGTACTAAAATGGATTTACTGCTGATTTTAATTTGGAACTAAAATTGTACAATGAAGTTTAATGTACTGTTCGCACGTAGAAATTTATTAACCAAGTCTCTTTAACAGTTACTTCTAAGCTTTACTTATAACTGTCAAGTAAATTAACGTTTTAAGCATCATGTTTTATTTGCTTACTTATGCATAAATGTAAAGTTATAAGTTTACGCTTCGATCAATAATTTAAAACAATCATATCTTGTGGACACATCTAAAGAAAAATGGAGTGAAAAGTAACAAGTCAAATGATATTTACATATAATTGTATATAAATTTGAATCTTTCCAGTATGTCTGTGTTCGAGTGATGTATTAGGTGTGTAACCCGTTATGATAATTTAATTAAAGTAACATATATTCAGGCACACCCATATATTCAGTACTCACAGATAATAATCGTTTATAGTCGTGCATGATATTCGTTTAAAAATAATGTAATATAAATCTTACTTGTCGTTAATGTATTTATTAAAGTATACATATATGTGTAAATAAAAACATCGCCTAATATTAAATAGAATAACAAATTTTCATTAATGCACGTATATCGCATTTGCATTTCGAAAAGATAATAATCAAGTTCATTCTTATGTCTTTTCGGCTAAATTCCTTGGAATTAATATATTTCTGATTTTGGAATACATTTACGAGATATTTGTGTCTTTCTGTTATCGCGTTTAACATAAATATTTTCATTTATTAACAAAGAATATCCAAGAATAATTTCCTACATTTATTAGTATTATCATATGCTATCTCTATAAATATGATCGTGGTGCATTTCTTATTCACGTAACAATATCGCCTACAATCATAATTTTTATAAAATTGTTTTGTTGCGTAAGACACTAATGACGACACATTATGTGTTGTCACGTCATTTACAATTTGCAATCGTAATCGTATAAATATGAAACAAGTAAAAATGTATAAATGTATTGGTGCACCACTCTTTCGTCCGGCGAAATAGTTACACTACTGGAAACTGGAAAGAAGGTCAGTCGTAATTCTAATATGTACCGTCGATTGTGTCTAAGTACTCGTCGCTAAGGAAATTTCGAACTTTTAACTCTATTACTTTCTCCTGACAAGCAAGAAAATGCCCGTAAAAGTATCTTTGCCGCTTGTCATCGGCATAATTCATCCGAATATCGGTGGATGGGCCAGCAGTTATTTGACAAGGAAAAATCTCAAACCGTGGTTCGAGGTAATTGAATCGATTATTCGTTACAGTTATTCAAATCCATTGATAGAACGCGACGACTGTTGTCACCAATAATAATCATGGCAGTGACATTGTATATGACCCAACCGCAAATTTTGACGCATTTATAGGCAATAGGTTTTCAGAATTCCAGTTTTTTAAATTCTACGTCGCAGTGCAATTATCCGTCAGTAATTATTTTTTTGTTTTGCGTGCATTATTCGTAGTTACTCGTTTGTCGATTAAAACTTGTTAGGATTGATCGACACATTATCGATTAACGAGAATAAGTTATTTTTAAATAAATCAAACTGCATAGTAAAATTAGATTACAAAGTATAAGAAATACTCGCATTAATTGTATTCGAATTATATTCTATATTCTGTAATAAAATAAAGAGCATGCAATGATTGTATTAATTTTTAATGATAAATAACGAGAAACTGATTTTTAACTTTCTGCGCTTTTTATTATATCAAATCTTTAAAAAGAAATGTTGCACAAAGTTATACAGAAACTCAAAGTAGACTACCAACAATGATAAGATATAGCTATAATCGTCTCTTATACGAAGGGGAGTTGTATTTAATAAATTACAATATGTACCTTTCGTATCCATAAATCGATTACATTTCATTCAAATGATGTTGGTTCTTAATAAAACGGGTTGTAATCAACAGTCTTTAAAAAGACCAGCTTGGGCACCACCAAACTGGGCGTTCGCTCCAGTATGGACAACTCTTTATTGCACAATGGGATATTCTTCATACTTAGTGTGGAGAGACGGAGGTGGTTTCCGGGAGGCGGCGGTACCGTTGGCCATTTATGGGACTAATTTAATCCTAAATTGGTCTTGGCCGCCGTTGTTCTTTGGATTACACAAAATAAAATTGGTAATTTCATAGAAACGAGCGCATCGCCACATCTTTAATCGCATCTACTAATCGTCATCTCCTCGTGATGGTTCTCTTTCTTCTAGGCGTTGTATGAAATAGTTGTATTGTGGGGAAGCACTGCAGTGTTGGGTGTGGCATTCTACAATGTGAATCCGCTCGCCGGTTACTTAATCGTACCGTACTTAGCGTGGACTACTCTCGCTACTGCATTGAATTACACGATATACAGGGATAACAGAGAAAGTATCGAAGCTGCGGACGAAAAGAAGGAATAATGTACACATTCAATGATACCTCTAGAAGATCAGCTAGTGCAAGAACGATGCTTCACTTAATTTTTTTTACAGTTACTGTATCACCGTTATTTAATAAGAAACGTGCCTTGCATTGAACGCACAATGCTATTAGTATACACATGTTTATTGTTTGATATGAAATAAAGGTTAGTCAATCAACCGTACGTACATTACAATATATATATAATTCATTACTCGCATTATTAGTAAATCATATAAAGAAACATCGCAAATCACTTTCGTTATTCTTCCACCGAGCGATCTACCCTATTCTGCGTACGATCTAACAAGTTTTTACTATATTAGATATCATTAAACTTACTTTTTTGTTTTTCTACAATGTCATCTTCGCAGCGCGATCTTAATGATCGATGGAGTAACAGTTTTTATACAGAATAGGGCAGAATATCTTACAGAGAAGAGGTATCGAGCATGGTATGGGCTTGGGCGGGTCTCTGTAATCTGCTGCCGGATTTCATAAGCGCTATGTGGGGTCGGTAGCGTAAATGTAGCCTTGTTGTTGAAGTACGTACAAACGTTTTTCAACGGCGTCTTTGTCTGCAATTGATAGAAAAAGAAATCAAAGTAAATAAACTTCGATTTATAATGAGCGGTGCGCTCGTTAAGTAAAAATAGAAATTACATTTAATAAGGAGGGCGTTGTCTTGACCGTGACTGACGCGCTGTGATAAAGAATGCAGAAGTATCTGCGCTGTGTGATACCGTTGAAAACACTCTGCAGGATTGCCGAACAATTCGTCGAGTGCTGCTGACTGACACTATTAAAAACAGTCAGAGAATTTCTCATAACTGTGAATTTATGCGTACAGAAAACAATAATCAAATTAATTACCATATGTACTGCGTGGTCGTAGAGAATTTTATCTGCCGTGACTCCTGTCTGATGAAGAAGCCCGGCACTGTTGAGCTGCTTACATTCCAAGAGGCACGTTCTAAATTTTTCATTCATGGTATTCACAACTGAAATATGATTAGGTTTTTTTTTATAACACCTTCAAATTCTTAATGCATTTAAGTGTGTATCTCGATACCTTCTTTAACACTGGCAGTCGGTTGCAACCGACCAGCTTTAAGTTGTTGAGTCGCGAGACTTAAACCAGAACTGAGCCACTGAAGAGCTCTCACAAGCAAAATTACTTGTTCCGCTCGTCTCTTCGTTGCCGCGGTGCTCGCTTGTTCGATACCACCTAAAGGAGCTCCCAAAGGTCCTGCTTTTGTCCTCGCTACTTCGCATACACATTCACATAACGCGACAACAAAGTTCAACTTGGCTAATATTTCGTTGTGTTCTCGTTCCAAAAGCGTTTCCTCCGGGAGTTCGGGGGCGATGAACGTTAACGGTCGATCGTCCGTTATTATAGGATTTACGTCGGGCAAAAGATTTTGGAAACTACCCGCCTCTGAAAATGTAATAAATGCAACGTCGTAACGCCATTCTTTTTCTGTCCTATCTTTACAACGTGTACACGTTTTACAACAATATAAATTACACACCAGATATTTCAGGAAGAGTGACAGCCCTGGTACCAAAAGGGATAACTGGCGAATGCCTCAGTGTGTTGTTATTATCCTGAAACGCTTTCGATGTGGGGGAACCTAATACGGCTAATGGTCCCGTTAGCAGAGGCGAGGACGCGCTATTATTTCCAGATGATCGCCGCAATGGCGATGTTCCACTGGAAGTGTGCGAATGCCTCGCCACAGGGCTAACTTGCCACGTATTTGGTGGAGGCGGTGTCTCGCTCAATCTAAAAACGATCGACATCAAATAAAGTTACATGCACGATTAACGTAGTCTGCAGAAGAACATACCTCCTGCTGGGTGGGGTGCCAATGACGAATTGAACACTGGGTGGACTGAGGGAACCGATGTCGGGAGCATGGCTCCTATGAGTATCCACACTGCGTTTCATACTAATAGGTTGCGAGCGAGGAACTACGCTGCTTCCCGACCTTCCATTAGTAGAAGGCGACGACGGATGTACAACACTTTTTTGGGAAGGTACCGGAATCGGTTCCGAAATGGGGAGGAAACATGGTCGTGGTGGGCTCACCGCCTCTCTACTTGTTTGTTTTGCATACCTAATCAATTTCACACGATGTTAGATACGAACACATCCAAGATAAACGCTCTTCGTGAAATATCACTTATTTACTTACTTCGCTTGCTGCGTGTTGGTATTATTGTCTGTGTCACTGCTGAGGTCACTTGGTACAAGCACGAAGTCATCCTCAGGACTGGAGCACGGACTGGTCGTTTCTGGTTCTGATCTTGTAACTGCCTGGGCTCCTTCTTGGATAGCTAATGTTCCTGGAGAAGCAGGAAGCTCGGCAGGGATCGGGCTTGGACTTTCCCTGGAACCTTGAAGGAAAGGATGCCCAAAGAACTCGTCAAAAGGCATCCGATCCCTAGCGTTGCGTCTCAGCAAACCCATCAACAAATTTGATAGTTCTGGCGACGTTCCAGGTGGAATTCTAAAGCGAATGAAAGTTAAAAGAAGAGTACTATAAGTTAACATTGAATCAATGTTTACGCATTGTTACATACTTAGGACCAAGATTAGCATTTTTCTCGTAAAACAATTTTAAAGCTTGAGGCGTGTGAGCTTGAAACGGAGCCTTTCCAGTAAGACATTGAAATACTATTGTTCCTAAAGACCAAAGATCTGCTTTTGCGTCGTATTGGAGTGACATTATAACTTCAGGTGCCATGTACATTGGTGACCCACATAAAGTTGCAGCCATTACACCATCTTGTAAGAACCTCGCGAAACCAAAATCCGCTGAAAGGCGAAAAAAACATGCATGGCAAAAATTGAAATTCTTACACGAATTTAAAAATAATTTTAATACTAAGAGATGTTACCAATTTTTAATGTTATTTGATGTGGCTGTGGGCAGGCCTTGCCACAACTATGACTGAGTAAAATATTTTGCGGTTTGAGATCTCTGTGGACTACACCTTTGGCATGCAGGGCTTTCATTGCACCTGCTAATTGCTGTAGAAACACTCTGATAGTATCTTCTGAGAGAGTGCCTTTTGCTGATGAAGTAAAGAAAAAATGAATAAGATCAGTAAATCCATTGACTTCCGGCTTCGAGAAATATAAATGTAATAAGAATTCTTTTATAGAAAATATACCACTTAAATAATCAGCTAAATCCCCACCATTACAGTATTCCATAACTAGGAAGACGTTGTGATTAGATTCCTAAAAAATAAACACGGATAAAGATCAATTTCATGTAATACTTACGAAAGTTAATGCTAAAAAGATCGTTAGTTTGTATTGTACTCACCTTACAATCCAACAATGCAACAACATTTTCATGATGTAATTCTGTTAGTTCCTAAAACATAATATTTTAGTCAACAACAATCCAACTGGTTATGCAGCTGTTATTTAAATAAAGAGCATAAATAAATCCAATTTCAATCAGTGAAATGAAATCAAATGAATCTGGATAGATATCATTTTTAACTATTCAAATAATTTCATAATAAATACTGTCAAGTACATTAACTCAAGAAACATAGAATAAAATATACTTGTAACATCCGTTATCTTAGTTTAGTCGAACCATCAATGATCGTACTGCTTAGCAAGTTAAACAAAGGCAACCCTTTTGTAAAGCCAAACGAAAATCCTGTATATAATGCAGACATTTCTTTTGTTGAAAAATACGAATACAGACATGAAAAAAGGCCAGTGACAAACCTTCAGAATCTTGATTTCCTTCCCGAGGAGATTCTGCGATTTCGCCAAGCTTTTCTTCGTGATACTTTTGATTGCCACTACGAAATTTGGTTTCTACAGGGGAAGAACAGAGTACGTGTAGATCGCTGGTGTCGTTTTGTTATTTTCGGAACATCATCGAGATCGTCATCAACGATCGAAGTAAGGGAAATGAAACTGAACGAAACTCACTTTGCGATGTCTACCTCTGAAGACCATGGCGAACGCGCCGTGCCCTATCAGATCTTTTGAATTGTACTCGTAATCCCCGACGATTTCCATCCTTGATCGTGATTATTTCACCGATCTCCTATTAGCAAGGACAACAGTTTACAAACATAGCACGACAGGCAAGAAAGATTCATTGCCTGCGGGAGGATCGATATGCGTTCTAAGAAAACTTGCGGTCCTTTAAGATTTCTCTATCTCATTAACACACTTCCCGGACGATGCCTTCAACGATGGACAACGACGTCGGTCTACATTTTGTCCATCCTCATTGAATCACGTCCGATTATTGAAGTCGCATCATCACTACACTGATACCAAAGTACAGTCAAAAATACAAAACACGATGGAGATGGAGTAAGCAGGGTAAGCACTCAATGGTACAGTTGCCGTCGCAAAATGTCAGACGATCCAGAACAGAGGTCGTTCCTAGGTATGTGACTACGAAGTCCAAAATCCGTAACAGCTAGGATTCATTTTATGGTCTTCGCCGAGCTTTGTCAGTGACCTGTTTCAGTATTTTATTATCCATCGTACTTTGAGAAATCGTAAACAGATGATTTTAAGAAGGAACAACAATTTTAATCGAACCTCGCACGGTGCGCTAAAGAATTGTGGATTTATTCTACACTAATACACATGTTTCATAATGGTTCTATGTGAAATGGTATTTTATATAGACCAGTATTAAAGATCCCATCTATGATAACGTGAAACATGCGCAGATATCGTTCTGACATCAGCTGTTTGCCCCTCCTCATGATTATTATATATACGATATGTATGTATATATACTAACTATTCTTATCCTTTGCGAACAATGTGTTTCGAAAGCACGTAAGGGAGAGGAATGGAAAACACATAGTTTCGAATTTTATTTTCGTTACTATATTTCTCACGTTTCTTTGAAATCCAAACACATCTATTTATTATCTATTGATAAAATAATACAATAAATATCCGCATTATTCTAAAATTAACAAAATATCTTCTTTTTCATCCTCTTGTATTCCATCTTGGTCTAAAGTGTGCAATTCTTATTTTCAAGAATCTTACCAAACCATCTGTTCTCACAAATTTAAATGCAGTATTACTCTTTGCAACAACAAACAGCCTTAGCCAATAATGTATTCCCTGTTCGGAAAGTAAAGCGGACAAATAAAAATCATTGATAACGTAGTACAGATTGCAGATATATAAAGTCTTAAAATATCGACTTCGATAGCTAGAGCATATACAAGAAAGAAAATTTTATTTTCTATTAGTTTAGAGTAATTCAGACCATTAAAAAAAAAGAACATTAACAGTGAATAGAAAATGAAAATAAAGGTAATACGACAAAGGCAAGATACGTTTGCGTCTGGTTTTTATTTTTCACGTTTAATTATGGTTTATATTAAATGTGCTAGCGTTATTTGTCTAAGGATCATTGAGTTACCATCCAGCAATTTACATTTTCATCCTATATACGTATAAACTTGTGAAGTTGTGAATCCTAAGAAAATTCTTACCATGACAATTCCCTTTGTGATCCAATATGGACTAAACTCTTGCAATTTTATTCACCGTATTCCTTTCTTAATCATCTTTATTAACAGCACAAGACTGTGGACTTTCTTGTATAAATTTTCATATACGTTTTAATTTTCCTCAACAGACTTCCAATCATTTTGAAGTTACTTTTCTCCGAAAGAAAAATAGTATATCGACAAGTGCAAACGAAAAATACGTAACGAATTTGACGAATATTATTGAACGAATCGGGACAAAGATTACAAGAAATAAAAAGAGAAAGGACAGTTCGAGCCCTAAGGTCCGATGTTCAGCAAAGAGGGAGATCACAGTAGACGAACTCAGTGGATCCCGCGATCGCTTGCTATTATAAATGCTACAAAGCATCGGCGATAAAAATGAATCGTTATATCTTTCTGTTTCCCTTTTACTTTGAGAGTCTTACGCGTAGACAAAGATTAATATTCTCCTGTATCGTATTGTAAAATAGAAATTTGTGGAAATTACTACGGCTAAGTCAGTTAAGTAGACATCTCTCTTAATCCCGATTACTTCGATGCGTCTCACGGCAAGGTGTAGCGAACGTAGGGTACCTCCACGTCATTGCCATCGGTATCGTTACAGCATAGTTCGAACACCAACGCGCGTACGTGATTCTCCAGTTTCTTCTTCGACACCTTCTTCACCACCTCGGACATCAACAGGCCCATGCGTTCCTGACATTTAGGCTTCGCCATGAAGAACGAGTAAAGCATACAAACGCCTTGAGAGAGCATGGTGACCTCCAGATTGTGCTGGTCTTTGAAATAGTCCAAGAAATCTTTCAACGTCAGTTCTCCCTTGACTTCGAACCGATCCCATAGCGTCCACTCTGTATCGTAATACTTCATCTTCGGCGCTGCGATAGGCTCGGAGAAGCCGAAGAACGGCAATGCCAGATTGACGAAACCGTTCTTGTACACGGATAGATCCTTGACGCCGCGGGTCAGCTTGATTAATTCGAGGCAAACTAGGCCAGCTACAACCGAAGTGGTGGTCGCGATAGCTGGGATAATCTTGCCTGCGATCAGTTTGCTCTTGTGTCTGTCGGCGTGTGGGATTTTGTAATTGGCGGCACGAAGATTCGAGGCAGCTACGATGAAGTCTATGTGGAAATTGCTGTCATCGTCTTTCTCAAATTCTTGCGGATAAATCACCAGACCATTCAATTCTTCGATCCGCGGTAGTTCCTCTTGCAATTGACTGAGTCTTTCATGATCGATGTTCCCGCTACCGTTAGATACCTGTACCTGCGAATCGGTCTCCGCTATCTTCACACCAGATTTCGGCGTGAACTCCGGCACTTGCACGGTGCTAGCCATTCTCACGATCTCTTCTCGATTTCTATTAGTTGGGATGCCATAAACCTTCGCCTTTAAGTTAGCTGCGGCTACAATGTAGTCTAAATGCAATGGATCGTTAACGTTGAACGCGAGTGGTTCCGGGCACCTCTTCGGCCCGGACCAGAACGGCTGACCGCTGGATGTCACCTGGTCGGGTGGGAAATTAAATAGAAGCTGTCTAATTTGATTGTTATATTGTTCCTCCCAGTGGCAACGCGCCCACGTTACGCAATCGGCGAACGTTTTTGGTCTTTCGTCAACCAATGCTGTCTTAACGGATTCTAATACTTCTAATGGTTGAACACCAGGCAGTTTTAGCGTTCTGTCTACAAACTGTGGATCGCATAAATATTGAGCGGCGTTCTCCGCGGCCTGACGGAATAGGCCTTCGAAATTGTCCCTGGCCCATTGCAGAGTGTGCTCGATAGCGTTCGGAAAATTCTTTAACGTGCAAATTGGTATACTCTTCTCCGGTGGATCCTGAGACGAACTGTACGACTCAGTTAAGAACGGGACGACCACTTGAGTGTTACCTTTTGTACCCAGGGTGCCAGATTCCAATAGAGGCTTTCTGTAGTACACGCAACGACGATCCATGTAAATCCGAGCGTTGACGTTATCTAATGCGTTCGCAACGCCGTCCAAGACTTCGAAGAAGTCGTCGTTGTATATCTTTTCTGTTTCTGGACAAACTCTGTTCTCGTGCGCGATCACTTTCATGTCTGGATTCATACTCTTTATGACTCTGGCCGCAGTCGATGATTTCGACTGTTGAACGTCGGATGGTCTAAACAGGAATTGTCTATTCAAATTAGACTTCTCGATTAAGTCCATGTCGGTGACCGTTACGCTACCGCTCTCGGCACCAACGCCCAACATAGCGAAGTTTTTGAGTAATTCACAACCAATGGCTCCTGCTCCTACAACGAAGTACTTCAGGTTTCCGATCTTCGCCTGGAATTCGCGTCCAAAAACGGCTATCTGCGAGTCGTAACGTGATCCAATGGGACTACAATCCTCTTCCGTGAGCTCAGACCGATCCGCTGGCAGACATTCGATGGCATCGAAATACAACCATTGGAATATCGGATGGAACTTTCCTGAACAAGCTTTCATCACTTCTTGAGCTACGATTCCTCCGATGGTAGCGTCCATTGGGTTCAAGTTTCCAGAAGAAATTTTTGCAAATATTTGCAACAGTTCCGTATTGATTTCGGTCTCACTACCCATTTCTTCCTTGACAACTTTGGCCAAATTCAAAAATTCGTCCGCGTCCTCCTGATTCCACGGTTTAGGTAATTTTCCTTTTTCCTCTATGTAGCGGTGCAACACCATAAATGCCAAATGTAACTGTTCCGGATAGTCGAATTTCCCGAAGTCAGTAATCTGGAACTCTGGCTTCTTCACAGAATCTTTCAGAGGAGCGAAATGTAGGATCTTTGGCATTTTTACTTGAGTCACTATACCGCTGCGGATGTATTCAGAATACTTAGTCGTGTCTCCGATGCTGAAAGTGTATGGGCCAAGAATTTTGATTTTTATCGGTTCACAACCGTTCAGCTCTGACATTCCTTGCACTTCGGAGAAGGTGACATAGTCACCGTCCTCCATACCGTGACGTGTGTCATCCAAACAAGTTACAATACCCTCCGAATCGTGTGAAATACTAGCGACCATCGCACTTACAGGCGGTTCACCATTTGTATCCACCACTTTGAAGTTATTCCCAAAGTCACAAAAGACTTGAGAAAACAGGCCTCTAGTATCTGCTATAATCAGTGCTATATCGTTTGGATGAGTGACCTCAGCAATACGCAACTGTTCCTTTAAAGGTGTTTCAGTTAAGACAACAACTTTGAACTTCTTGATAAAGGAATCGGTCAAACGGCCAGTGTAATAGCACGTAGGAACATAATTGTTCAATTCGGACAAGCGTGGACAGCAAGCAACAGCTCGGTTTTTACCTGCAAATTAAATATCAATAGATTAATCATAGTCACTAGACCCTTTTGTCGTAAAATCTAGGTAATATAATTTTATAGAGTGTCATGCTGTATTGCGTGAAATTGCACAACACTTAAGCACAGCTAAGAATTATTAACGGCGCTTATGACAAGATGAACAACGTGACATGTGCAATGTAGATAGAACCACCAGCTAATACGCATCAATCGCAATAATTTCCATAAAATTTCAATCATTTGCATTTTAAATCCACAGGGTCGACGCGGAGCTACGTAAAATTAATTTTTAACAAAATGATATCGTTGCCAAGGCTGGTCACACATTACAATTGATCTTTCAGCATCGAGTTGAAATCAGGACATCCTGATCGGGCGGATAAATCATTTCGATATCCTAGGGCGCTCACGTGCTTCACGATTCGCGGGTTTCTCACCTATGTCCGCCTCGGTAAGATAGAACTGTGAACCGAGGTCTGAGATCTGGCACAGCGCGTCATCGTGCAGGGTAACGGACTTGACGCCGCCGAGGATGACGTTCTTGGCAATTTCCACACCGAGCCCGCCGAGACCGGATATCAGCACATCGGAAGATGCCATGCAACGCATGGCGTCATGGCCGAGAACGTATAGTTGCCTGGAGTATAGACCCTCGTCGATTTCGGTAGATGCCCGGGACGTCGAGCCATTTTTCGCCATGTCTGCGATCGTTGTCGTGTCGTCGGCTCCTCCCGTGGTGGCAGCAACGCGTCGCTTCTTGGCTGGGGGGTCAACGGAGCTCTCCACCACCTCAGCACTAGACATCGGACTTCACGGGGCGCCGTATTATGTCCGTCGATTGTTTTTCAACCCGGCCGACTGCACTTTAATAAAGCCCGTAAACTTCACCACACGCACCGACCTTGCCACACGCGCCCGCTCTCCTCTCTTTCTCCCTCTCTCTCTCGCCGCACCTCTCCGCCGCCGTTCGCCGTCGTTCTTCTTCGATTCCAGTTTACCCTCGAAAGACCGTGCCCGCACTCTAACGCGATACCACTGTCCATCCGACAATGATTCTCGTTCTTTCATCCGCTCTGTTACTGCTTCGCAGTCGCACCAGCACCAGAATTCGCGATGTCGATGATGATTCCTCCTTGATAAAGTGGGGATAGGGACTCGCGCGATCGGTAAAACAGCGACACCGCTGCTCCGCGAACGCGTTTCCTTTTCTTGTTCCCTACGCTTATTCGTTCGGCGTTTTTGCGGACGGCACTTAACGAGCTGACGAAGTTACACCGATTGATCATTTCTACGACAAAATTTTGTACAACGACGCTTTTTTCTTTTCTTGTTGCGACATTGTTGGTTAACGTTACATCATGAATTTTGCATTTGAACGTGACCGTTTGCTTGGAGCGCAAAACAAGCGAATCGAATCCCGATGTCTGCTAAGTAATCGCCATCGATGATTTACGTTCCATGCTCTTAAAACAAACGCCACCTACATATATGCGTTATCGTTATCCTCGGTGGCAACCGCATCTAACCTATCCTTTCTTTTTCGTTTCTTATCTGACGTGGCACTAGAAATGCGTATCTAACAAATTATATATGCATATGCGTGATGCATCGTCGGTGAATTATTGGCATACGCGATTGCACAATAATTATACTTCGTTTGCCTCGATAACGGTAGCGTTGGGTCATGTTAGTCGTGTATTTCCGTCGGAACTTTTCTTATTGGAAAACTGGAAGAATAATATTTTCTTAATGTGCGTCCCACTTTATTCGATTACACTGTTTTCTTTTGTGTTGTCAACTATTTTTAATGATGTTCAATAAGCGACTTATTAGGTCAGTTCTACGAAGGAAATCGTTATATTCTCAATAATAAATAACGGGAGACCAGGTTTCGCAAAACAAATACTTTATTATTTTTTAATTTGCATCACACCTTAATAATATGTATCATGTCTTACATTATTCAGAGGTAGAATTTCCATGATTTTTACATCGATAATCCGAGCCGTTCTCTCTTTCAGTCCTCAAAATAACATTTACTTTAATAGATATTCACGCCTAAGTTTCACACGTACAAACATAATTATACATA